ACTGGCGTTGAAATTATCAAGGTGAGTTACCGCAACGATACTGATCTTCTAAGCGCTACTCAAATATCACCTTCCCATTTCAGATTTTAGCTCCTCGAGCAGAACTTTAGCAAGACCCGTTTGCCCGCAAACTTGGTGAGATTTTCGATTCTTCTTTCAATTTAAAAAATCGATCGATTTTAATACAAAGACCCGACATATCACTTTTATAATTGCCTTGTACCGACGAAATGTGCGGAATTCAGGGGAAGCACAGGGTAACGCACTGATGGACGTTACATGGATTTTCTTGACCTAAAAATCAAGGCCTTACATATAAAAGGAATTGGTATACAGTGGGCCAAAAATAACTTCCGTTATCTTTATCACCACAGCATTGGTCCCCTAAAGTGTGCTAAAATTGCAATGGCGTATAGAAAATTCATTCAGCTTTCCAATGATTTCAACAGAATAAAGATTCGTCACATGACTTTCACGCAGTTAGATAAGAAGTATAAGAGATGGAGCTGGAAAAGTTGGTGCCATGGCAGCTAGTGCATGCAAAAGGTCGCCTACTCGCCATGAGTGAGTGAATGGACGTCACCTGGAGCACATCTTGTAGGGTGCTGGTAAGTCCACTTTTCAAGCGCTACGTCTGACAATGTGCGCAACTGCATCGGAATGACGGATTGGACCATAAGTCTTTTGACGTCAGTGGAAAGCAAGATAAATGTTCCATATAGAGACCTTATTGCGACATTTTCAAACTCTCGAGGAACTAAGCTGTGAAGCGTTAAAGATAACCGAAGATTTTTTTTTAGCTCATCCTGTTCATGGGCGTTCTGGGCGATTATGAATTTGACATTGATGAACTGTAACTTGTATTAATTATTTTAAATGTATTAATAGCGTTACCAGGAGTAATACGAATGCTACAAGGCTTCCAAAGAAAGTCATTCGAACTTCTCTCGTCGTTCCAGAGAATTTCCAGTGACGCAATGATGGCCCGCATGATCACAGCAGATCAAGGCTCATTCGAATGGTGATTTTCAAATTACTTTCTTGGGAAACCATGCACCATTCGCATTACTCCTCGGGACGCTCATATATGACTTTCACTGGACTTCCGGCCGTGTATTCCTGGCATCGCGTAGGCGACACTTTGTCTCCTACGGTTTCCTCGGAGTTCCCCAGAGCACCTTCCAACGAGGAATACACGAGGTAAACTCTTTCCCCCTCCAGGTCTTTCCAGAGGGATGAAGGGGAAGGGGAAGCTGCATTCCGAGCATAGAGTAGAGAGTGTAACTATAAGCTCTACTCCACTTGAATCCCATTCATTGACAGGGTCGCAATATACCCTGTATGTCACTGTTGATCTTCCACCGCACATTAACAATTCCTCCATGCCCGAGCAGCGGACTCAACGAAACACGCGTTTTACGTTGAAGGATCTCTTTAGGTCGAATCCCAGAACGAATCGATTCCCGATTTCGCTGCCACGAAACACGCTTCATGAAAGTGTTGTTAACAAGCCACCAGATGTTTCTGTAATATTTCGAACCCCCCCCCCCCCCCACGCCTGAAGTGTCGCCTCTAGTTATACTCTACTCTGATCCGAGTCGCTATGTTCTCTCGGCCAGAGCCGACGGCTTCACGACCTTACAGTCTTCGCTTACATCTTGGTTAAATTCGGCGCAGTGCTCAGAGAATATGCTCGAAGGCCTGATCGTGACCTTGCAGGCCTGACGCGTCGAAATTGCGCCAGACGTATTTCTCTCTATCTCCCTTTCGATACGAGTTTAGCCGCGGGGGCAGCCACGAGTCGATCCACCTTCGTTGCCCCGGCAGTTACGTGGTATGTCATATAGGCCTCCGCGGTAAAGTAAAGCTGAATTGGATTGTCTCAGTCTGCCCCGAGTCACTTTGTCAGTGTCTGGATGAAGGAACTCACGAGGACGAATGCGCTGTTTCTGTACAGCAACCGTCCCATTGTCTTCGATCACTGAGAGAATGACAGCGAGATGGACGCTAATGCTGTATTGTAAGTACACCTTCACCATGTCGATATCCAAGTATTGAGAGATGCATTGAGTCCGTCGGAAGATGGAGGGGAGCCCTCCTTATCTGGCCAACGTCACAGGGTGAATAATTTCTCCTTTTTCTGGGTTCGAGGTAATTATGAAGGGAAAGGTTGACTGAAGTAGGCTTATTCGCGGCGCTTCGAAGAGATAAAAGCATAATTGCACAACCTCAGTCTAGGGTCAAAGCTAAGTCAAATTCAGAAAACCTGCCCTAAATTTTAACCTATTACCTTTCTTCAACCCCTTCCCACCGCAAAATTCAACTTCCTCGTGTTCCTGTCAGAAAGCATCAATAGAACAAAATTTTGCCTACTTCTTCCTCTCTCACCACAGAATCGCTCCAGCAAATTTGAAGCTTCATCTCCCTGTGGTTGTGGAGAACACTAAATCCTGTTTTTGGTGGATGTGAACTTCATTCCGTTTTTTTTTCCTTCCCCGAGAAAAAGGTAGGCCTTGGCGTGACCTGAAGGCAGTCTGTTGGTTAGGTTATGTGAGTCCCATAGAGAGGCGGGGAGAAAGGGGGGGGGGGGTTGAAGAAAGGGAAAGCGATTGAAAATTGGCTTTCACATTACTTCATATTCATATTGGTCACATTAGGAGTTGACCCATTTTGGGCCCACATTGGGTAAAGGTGGGAAATTTAGGCGGAGCGTGAATGTTGGGGAACGATGTTGGCCTATCCCCACGTTGAAAAGAACAGAACTCCTGGTGGAGAACTTCAACACCTTGAAATTCATCGCCAGGCCACTAGATGGAGTTCCGGGTCTCGATTTTCAAAAGTTCCCTCTTTCCATGGAATCGTCCTTCGCAGGATTATGTAGTACCTCGCCATATGTCTCTCTAGTCTCGTTATAGGAATCAATAAACGCGGACATTTGTCATTTGTTATCCACTTACTCAAGACAGATTCATGGAGCTCAGGCCATAAACAAGCATATATTCCCGATCAGAATCCTTTTGAAAGACAGGAGGATATTTTCCGAAAAAGACATCTGGAATATAAAGGGAACGTCCGTAAACTCAATTCCGCTGTTTCCTCATCTCGACGGCAGGAGGAACTAAAGGATTGATATAGCGGATACTTTATAGAGCCGTACGAGGTGGTGCATCCTCTGTAATCAGTACAGTCAGGAGTAGATCCACGTCTGTACTGTCCTATGTCTCCTGCCTATCTAGGGCATATATACATGTCCATGGTAGGTTGTAGTACATAGTACAGGTTCCGTACTACAGATGGGAATACCTCCACTGGGTAATAACTTCATAGTACATGGTACGAAAAGATGATGGCCAACATAGGGCAAAAACCAGCTACTTGGGTAAGTGGGTTAAATGCTTCGCTTCAACTTCCTGCAAACGTTGGCCCCACGGTCTGAAATTGGTCATCTGGTGAAAGAAAGTGGCCAATGCCCCTTCATCTCTCGTTTGATGGATGTGCTGTAGTCCCAAACCGGCTCGAATCCAATCTTGCAGCCTTCCAGCTTAATTTACCTCCTTAATTTAAAGTCGGTGGAGAACATTTCTCGGAAGGTTATGGAGAGTGCATATTTGACCAAACAACTGTGAAAAGTGGCTCGTACGGGAAAGCATGGGAACCGCGTCGACCCTCATCGACTCGGATGTTTCAGCCTGGAGTTAGGCATAATCTAGGACCTAGGAGCTAGTCCTTACCCAACTTCATCCCTAAGACATGCTCGTACGAAGAAATTTAGGCTTAGACCATCCCTCGCCATAATTCAACCGATTGCACTCGCATGAACCGTGTGAACCGTAAGCGCTTTTTCCGGCACCTGCACTCGCGATGACAACTCCCGCAAAGAGATACTAATTCTCACGTGCGGGTGATGTACGATGAGCGTTATCCAAACTCAGCGAAAAGCAATAAATTCTTTAAACCGAGTCCCCTACCAGAGAACCGAGCTCGCTTTTACTCTAGCCATTCATCTGCTACGGGTAAGATCCGCCAGGTATCCGCCGTACCTATGAGCGTGCGTGAAGAGAAGGAACGTGAGGATTAAATCCGGCGTACGACCGATGTACCTTTGCTACTAGCATGAGAGTCAATTCACGAATGCCTATGAGGCGCGACCTCATCGCTGACGTCCATGCAACATTATGGATTCATTGCCATGACGTCCGTCTCCCAGCAACGGTCATGCAACGTGGTTCTTACTCTCCTGTGTTGCTTGGGAGGCGACCGTAGGAATTCCAGAAAAAGCGGGGTAGTCAACCAAGGTTCTTGTTGAAATTACGTTAATTTCTCGAGTTCTCATCCTCAAAATTCAGTTTCTCGTTCTCTTCCTCCAAAGGACACCTAAACAAGATTTTTTACGAGATTCCGATCATATCCCCAGAAATACATTTAACTCAAGTTACGTTTCGGCAACGTTGCATGAACGTCACATGTTACTTGCGAGTCTGGGAGTCGCCATTGCTTTGAAAATGATCAATCAATTAGTAAATATACATGTTCAAATTCGAATTTGAATTCAAAATCAAACCAGATCTACAGGGAGAGTCAACATTTCTGCCCACCTTTTGAACGCCAGATTAGATTGAAATCCAGTTTCAATCATTCGGAAGGCAAGAAAATATTCTGCCTAGTTTTCGCATCATTTGGTCAAAAGAATTTTTTGTCGTGATTTTTTGTTGCTGTCGTAAATTAAGTTTCCTCTTGAAAGTTCTTGTGATGTACTGAAAACCTGAACATGTGGATGCGTGCAGTCAATTTGTACTGGAATGGGGTTAAATAACGGGAGCAAGTACCTAAGCGCCTATCGATTCTATAGACCTGTGCATACAATATTGGCATTTCAGAGGCTCTCCCTGAAGAGGCAGAAGGAAAGTTGAGTGTTTTACCAACAATGGAAGGTGACACAAGATTGACAACTGAATGTTGGGAAGGAGAATACCCGAAGGAGAACAAATAGAGAAGAAATAATGGGGGAAGAGGCGATGATGTATCGACTCTCGCAGAAGCTCGACAAAGAGGAAGTGAGCAGGAGGCTGTTACCAGGGGTGAGGATCTTTCATACCTCATTGTACGCAGCATTTCTAGAAGTTACTTAAAACACTTTCACTAAGTTTTTATTCGGTCGCAATTACCATCCATCTTCATGCTTTGCCCAAGACGATCGAAGAAGCACTATTTAAAAAAAATAGTGTCAGAGGGATTCATTACAATTGAGAGAACAAAGCATATTTACACAGACGGGAAATCTTTCCTAATTCTTGACTTTTTATTTATTCCCTGCGACCATTGCTCGATTATTCAGCACTGCCTTCTTTCAAAATACTGTATGTTGGGCCTATGTTGGAATACCACATTTGGGATGTGGGCCCAAGGCTGGTCCCTCATAGGCTAGTTATGCCGTCCCACGTTGAACCAACGTCAAATGCCGATGTGCAGTATGACATTAATGGTGATTGGAAGAGGTTATGATTGAGAAATCTTTATTTGTACATAATTGTTCAGCTCCCCTAACGGGCACGTTGTCACCGAGTCTCTCTCGGCCTGACTAGAAGCACTCCAAAGAATAATACCACCTTCAATTGCTATCTTTTGAGGTCTTCACTTTCCACACGGGATATGAGCCCATCGTGATTTCATTCATCACTCATTTGGTTCTAATCCCGCTATGGAAGTACTTGTCCCGTGGCCTTGGGTGATCACTTTCTTCAGCACACCCAAATCTACTAACCCTTGAAGGGGAGCCAGACGCGGCCCCCTTAATCGGAAGAAATCGATTTTTGTTATCCTCACCCTATCGAGTGAAGCGGATTTCGAGCCATACCCCCTCCATGATGGAGCATTGCAGTGGGCTACATGGGTAGCCCAATGCGATTTGGGTATTGATTTGGATGCCCATGCTCCCCTACTCGCAGCCGATGTTGGCCCAACATTGTGCTGGCGGGGTTGTAGTGTGCAATGTCTTCAGTCTCTTAATGTGAAGTAACAGATGAATGTGTGTGGATTTGTTTCATCCAAAGAGAACAGGAAGGAGTGACAAGTGAAAGCATTCATTTTAAGCGACCTTACCGGTTGAGTGTTGCCGGCGTTCCTTGCCCACATGTGCCTATCAATATTTTTTTCAGCCCTGGGAGAGATAACCCGCAATCAATAAACACCGTCTACCGTGGAAGTGGTTTCCACTACCAAAGTTCTCATTTTCCATATCCTTCAGTGTATTAGAATTCCCTGCAGCATGCCTCTTCAAAAATCGATGTAAGTTTCGGATCTGATGCACTCTGACAAATTTCATGAAATATTATCCTTCTGTTGTTTAAAAAGTAGAAAGTCGTCTGCTTGAAAGGTAAGTGACGATGTCTCGAATTAGGATAGAGTTGGGCTATCTTGGCGATTATTATAATGATCTGAGAATGAAAGAACGGGTGAATGTAAGGAATTTCGATTCAGGGTACAGGAAAAGAAAATATTAATAGGCATTGCCTTGTTCTCTGATTTAAAAAAAATCTGAAAAGACTGTGTTCCATTAGTAGATGCCCCACTTCTAATGAGATGTTCACGTTTTTGTATGAGACAAATTATTTTCCTGAAATGCTTTAAAAGAAAATGCACAATAACTCGAAACAGATTTAATTAGCTTAAGAAAATTGGTGTTAAACATGTCCAAGAAATAATACATTTCTTTGGACTTGTCCCTATTAGAAATTGGTAGGGTGTCTCTGAATGAAACACTGTATAGAAGTATCGCAATTTTGGGGGGTCTGTACCTTAGACCCCCATAACGTCGGCCCCCAAAAATATGCCCCCATGGCATGGATCTAAAAATTTACATTTTTCCTGAACTCATCGTCTCGGCAGGCACGTCCATGCCAAGTTTCAGTTTTCCATGTCTCTCCGTATTACTCAAGCAAAAATATTGTTACGGAGGGAGAATGAGTAACGGGACTTGGAAGGCATGAGAGGCCGAAAGGAAGCCTAGGAATAGCCAGGAATTGAACCCGGGCCTCCTGATCGCAGGTCAGGTGCGCTACCACTACACCACCGAACCCGGGACATCTAGGCGACCCTCTCGATGCCATCCTCATCCGTCACAATATATTAGATATTACATAATCAATCATCTTGAATAAGAATAGGAAAGAATACATGTAGATTTTTTTGTTCATTGGGGGTGCATATCTTTGATGATAGTCTCGGGCGAACAGGTCTATAATACAGCATTAGCAGTAATTGAATCTCATGATAAAAAAATATATTTCCCAGGGTGCATCCAGTGGACCAGAACTTGGCGATTCTTTCAACCAAGGAGCTACCAGAACCAAAGTCTACTGCTTGCATAGATGGTACGAGGATATGTATTGATAACTGAAATAGTGCGAATAAAGGAGTGGAAAACAGCTAATTTTGTCACTCATAGAAGGGAGTCAAAGGCACTCATTGAGCAATGTCAATGTTCAAGATGTCGCTTACTGTATATTTAATTCCATTCGTCCAGTTCACATGCCACTCCAGACAGGTCCATATCATCTTTGTAATGCATCACCTTTCCCCGGGGATATTATCTACAGCCCGACGAAGAGGAGACTGGATAATGCGAGGACTAAGACGTGTGGAAGTCAGGAAATTGATCCGGATTGCCATCGTCTTCTGTTCCTTCACAATCGCTTTGATTCAGGTATTATAATTAAACTAACATAGCAGAAGGGATTGTAAATGAAGTTGCCCATTCTCTTCAACTCATTCCTGCCCTTGCTTCTAAATTGTCAGGGTGAGCTGAGAGAATGTCACGCGAATTAAAAAGTTGATAAGGTTTACAACCGATTTTTCATGGAGTAAGAAAGAAAAAGCATAGTATAAGTTTAAAAAATCCGTAAGTACTCCTTATTCTTTAAATAAAACAAAATCAGTCATTTTTTAGTTTTAGAAAGTTTTGTCAAATGTTGAAAGAGGAGAACTTCTTCCAAGTGTGGCCACATCTCTCCAAATTAGGAGAAATGTGACGAAATCACTTTGAGGTAAATTTGACTACCTTGGGTTGCCAGCAACAAATCTGTCCATTTCATATTTGTTTGTCCGCAAGAATGTGGCTCCATTTGCAATTCTTACGTCTCGCACTACAATGTGCTTTTCCGCACCTGGAGAAAGTCATATTAAATGCTTAGGAAAAGCTCTTCTCTCTTCCCCTTCCAGTTTTGGCAATCGTTCTAGCCAGCGAAGCTCAATATCCCACCACTTTGGTGAGTATATTGAGGCACATAACGATCAAGAGTTTTGCATCAAACACAAATGAATTCCTATTGAGCTCACACCGAATCCTGTGTATAAGAAAGTAAAAATTGTCTAAAATGTATATTGGGCAGGGAATCCTGATTCGTAATTACTGATTACCCTTGAAAACCAGATCATGAGCACGGATCGAGTCAGTTAGGACTACCCATGCTGATTTACGAGTTTGAAAAACTACACTCAGGGTAAGGAAAAGTGATTTCACGAGAGAAATGAAATGGTTTTCAATAATTATGGATTAGTAAGTTCACCTTCAAAGCAAAGAATACTATACAAATTCCTGATTAAAGAAATACTCACTGGTTTGCCTCAATTCAACAATGTTTACTTCATCGAGTGGGAAATGCCAAGCCACTCGTGTTCATGGCACTAAATTCATCAAATAATGAAATATTCGAAAACTCGTCAATAAACGGCTGAAGCATCATTTTCCCTTGCCACTGCATGAAAAAACCAATGCTAAAATTGCTCAATTCCTTTTGATTTCCTAAAAAAAAAGGATGCCCAATATTATGTGATTTTGCCCATTGTGTTATTCATTGAATTCGGTTTAATTTGAAAGCGTGTGATTTGCAGAATAGGAAAATATCCATTTCACTCAAATTTGAAGGCTTTGAGAAAGGTTAGATAAATAATAATTATTTTTCATATCCTCTCATGGTTTGAATATCCTGCAAAGGAGAGGAATCCTTATTTATATTTCTGTAAATGCAGCAGTTTATTTCCTGTTCCAAAGACCAGGGCTTCCAATGACCGTCCCATAGTCACTTTACACACCATTTCTTACGAGAGTGAAAGGAAATTAGGCGAAATTTTATTTAATTTTCTGCCTTTCAAGTCAATCTAAAATAAGAGGGAAAAATCTCAAAGTTCAGCAGTTTCATGAATGAGAATTTGGAGAAGGAAATCCGCCTTTTGATGAAGTTATTCCTTGTCTAAAGGGCATGTAGACTTTTCAATTCCATTCCTTTGAATGCCCTCAGAGAGGAAGACGGAGTCAAATTTTTAGCATTACCAAATGGTTTAAGAAAGGGAAATAAATGCGTGCAGATTGAAAATCTAAACTGTAACTAGGCTTGGCAACCCTGATTCCCAAACTTGAACTTGCTGATTCCTTCTTCCACCAATAGCGTCTTTTACGGAAAAAAGCAGTCCACTTGGGCGATTGAAAAAAACATTTGATGTTAACTTTTCGATTTTTGTAACTTTTCTCCAGTAAAATAGACATTTATCGCTTAATGTCAATGGAAGAAAAGTTCCATCTATAGCATAGCTGATCATGCACTGTTATGTACTTTTGACTTCTTGTAGTGCCTGATGACGAGGAAGGCTAGAAGCCTCAGATGACCCCCAATGCATAAATTCTCTACCTGTACGTTTTTTGTGGTAATATCTTTTGTCAGAAATGTCAATGTCAGTCCTCTACATGTCCAGCGTCCCACTGACGACAATTCCCGGCGGTACGAGAGTGCCGCCCACGTGTTCGCTGACATTTCCTGCGTGAGTCTGGTGAATACTTTCTTGTATGCGGTTTCTTAGGTCAACAGCAGACGAAGAAGCCCATAAGTGTGAGATCGGGAGAGTTCGCTGGGCAGGCCGTCCACACCATCACAGGTGGTGTGGACGAGCGTGCCCCTTAAATAAGGTGAATGCCGAGAGACTGTGATGTGACAGACCTAAGAAACCACATACAGGAGGCTTTCACCAGCTTCACGCAGGAAATGTTAGCGAACACGTGGGTGGCACACTTGCACCGCTGGGAATTGTTTCGTCAGGCGAGAGTGGACATGTGGAGGACTGCCATGGATATTTCTGACAAAAGACATTATTACCAAAAATGTACATCTGGTGAGTTTATGCATGGGGATTTCACAGTAAAATACTTTGCTACTGAATCATGAAAATGTTTTTTTTTTAAGCATGCCTTCATGGACACTCTGTAAATCTTTTTTTTTAGCCTGAAGACTACCTACGACTGCAAAGGTCCAATGATTTTTCCTAGCACAAGACTGTTGTTTTTTTTTTAATTTCCAGGTGTGGTCGCTGATCGAGCAATACCTATCTTTCCCGACGAGCACCCTATACATGGTGGAAGACAAGGAGAAAATTCCATGGCCAGCTATCACAATATGCCCCAAGAATTCCCTCAGCTTAAAAATGCTCCAGAAGGAATCAGACTATAAAAATCTCGATAAGCTGAGGCAGAGAAGAGCAAACGAGCTTAATGAGACTGAAGAGCAGTTTTTTGAGACATTCCGCCTGAAATTCCCAGAACTCATCCCTTCAAGCACCCTTGGACCTTTCGGTGGGCCATTCTCTTTAATTCCAAAGGATTTTCCTGACCATGTCAAGAACTACCTCGGGGTTTAATTTTGCATGCCCTCGACATATCACTTCTTCAGATGAATTATTCTATTTCGGGATAACAGAGAACTGTACTCCGAAATCGTACCATGTATTTTTAAGCTGTATATCAACATAAATTTGATTCCTTGATGCATCTTCTTACCATGTCATAATATCATTATATTTGATGAGTTAGATCACTAGGCCTTCTAGAGCCCATCATGCGATTTTATATTGCTATACTGAGGACTATTGAGATTACCAGAAAACATCCCAGAAAATAATGTAATGATAATAAATAATTGTACTGATTGAACATAATGTACTGATAATAAATCAGTAACATAGAATATTAACAAACTTATCGAACAACCCACTCATACTATTTTAGAATACGCTAAGGCGTTTCACAGTTGGTGTAGGCCTACAAAACTTTTACCCTTCTAAGACATAGACAGGGTAAAGCATTGGCCTTTAAGCCTTTGCTTTCCAGTTCATAGGCTAGGCGGGATGGATTAACCATTACATGCCGATTGTTGCCATATTCGGACAGCATGGAATCTTCCTTTTGACAGGCCTCTGGGTCACACTCACCCTACTTATTTATGACTCACCACAATCTGCTGATTTAGGATTTAAATCAGGGCTAGCCAGTGTAATAATCGACGTCATTTAAAGCTCAACACGCTGGAATTAATTTCCCGTGTATGAGCCTTCTGTGATAGGGTCGAGATCGTGCGGAAAGGCTGGAATGACGTTCGACGTCCCAGCCAACGCAGCTCTGACGTTACGTGTATCGTTTAGTAGATATGGTTATTTTTCTAAGATACTTTGCATTTTAATATAATTGTCCTGAAGAAATTTCGGCAGTAGGCTCGTACAAGGGAAATTAATTCCAGCGTGTTGAGATTTAAATGACGTCGATTATTTCACTGGCTAGCTCTGATTTAAATTCTAAATCAGCAGATGGTGGTGAGTCATAAATAAGTAGGATGGGTGTGACCCAGAAGCCAGTCAAAATCATTTTACATCTGTCACTTTGCGAAAATTACGACCAAAATTAGTTTCAACATAAGTAAATAAAAATGGAACCATGAAATATCAGGAAACGAGACACATTATTTATAGATATTAGAATTTATAGGCGATTTCATCTTCAGGCCACAATCGGCATCGGTCGATGGTTACGAGGAAAACATCGGCCATCTGCGCACCCGCCAAATGTGGCCACTGGTACAGCCATAATAATGTATAAAATATTTTCACTTTGGGGATCAACAGACGTGACACCAAGCTGGAGTATTTTTTTTCATACAGAGAATTAGGGAAAATGATCCGAGATGATGAGTACCGATGATTTGTTCAACGCAGTCTTACACCTGAGTCCTCAGAATACAGTGACTGAATGAGCCGATTTGAAATCACATTGATTTTCAATTTCTCACTAATTATTGAATGCAGAGTGGCAGGTTACCCAACGGACATTCTTCATCCACGAGAGAAGGACCTATTTCTACGAGTGCTACATTCTCCTTAGGAGAAAAGATCAAATGCCAATAGGGGCGACAAGTTGTTCCAATCACTTCATCGGATTCCAATTCGGAAATATGTTTCCCATTTGGAATCTGGAGGAACCAGAAGTAGAAATATACTTCCACGATCCTGAAGAACAATACTCCCCATTCCCCGGTCTGACCTGGATGCCGATCATCCTCCACAATGATTCCAGGGTTGAACTTTTGCTCACGCCTCAATTAATGGAGTTCCGAGACAAGCCTTCTGCTCGATGCGATATGGATCCCAGATACAGTTACGTGAAGGTGAGGTTGGTACATCAGTACATTGACATTTTAAAACTTTTAAGGTAAAAATATGCTAAAATATGTGTAAGCCCACGAAATACAAAGAGTTCCCCAAAAACGCCCAAAAATAACTTCATGATTCATATTCTGGCCATTCTTCATCAGCCTTCGATGATAGTTGATATTATGCTCACGTCGGTGGATATGGTTTGCAAATAAATTTTGCAAATAAATTTTTACGCTGCACGTGGGGTTCGATTCTCGATTAACTGTTTTCTTTCGAAGCCACGTCGGTTATGGCTGAAAGCTACTGCTCAAAATCGGGAAAAAAAAACTCATTGCTCCACCTTCGAAGATTTCGATCGGAATATGCATGTTTCATCTACCCTGGATGATCTTTCCGATAGTGCATGGAGGAGTGCTTCTTCGACAAGATCCTGCGCGATCCCGACGCGGAGTGCATCATGAAGAGGCTCCTCCCTCCCTGGAGGAATTGGACCGCGGAGACGAACAAACCGGAATGTGGACGGAACAAAGCGTGGAAATTTCAACAATTCTTCAACTTTCTCCCCGCCGGGAATTTTCGAACGATAAGAAAATTCCCACCGACAGTTTTGAGACAATGCAAGATTGGGTGCACAAAACGCTGCAAAACGGTGGACTACTCAGTGGTTCCCAAACCAACCCTCTGTAAGGCAATGCGCCAGGGGGAGTTGGGCTTCTCTGTTCCTTCCAACAAGGTTCTCGCTCATCGACTCTTCCCTACTTGTCGTCTTGTCTTTCTGAGGAAAACCTCTCTTCCAAATTTCAGCTTTCCTCATGCGCTAGATTTTTTCGAATTAAATATTCACTTCTGGAAATATTCTCCCCTAAATGTATAAAAGAAAAGGTGCACTGGAGGGATAAACCTTGAAATTAGGAACCACATATAACCATAGTACCCAGAGAATTAATTTTACAAATGTACGCTTTAAATATTTGCCCGTTTCGATGGGGAAAAAATAAAAAAAGTGTCCCCAAAAAACGTGCGGCAGCGTACCTTAAAACTAGAATTTTGTCTAAACATTATATGGATAATTTTTGGTGTGCCTAATTTCATTTATTTACGTCTTCCTCTTTGTGGGTATCCCAAAGGGGGGATATTTAACACTTTCGGGCCCAAGTACTTTGAATATCACAACACTGTCATCCTAAGTTTTTCCATCCCTCATGAGGCCAACACGAGATAACGCAAGCGTGGACCCCAAAGGGTAAAATGCAGGGTTACTCTTGCATTCAACAATGCAATAGCTACTTGTGCACCATTTTTCACATTTCTATCTCCCATTGTTTCGTTTTAGAGGAAAAAAAATTATATAAAATTCGTCTCTCGCAAAAAAGAGTGCCCCAAGAGCTTTACCTCAGAACTAGGATTGTTTTTACACTAAAAATTAGTTAACTTGCAAATTTCAGGCCTCCCAGTCTTCGCATTTTGCTTGAGCGAGCTTGTTTATGCTCCCTCGACAGGTGGGGAGATTTCTGGAGCAGCCCGCCATGTCTCTGCTGACCCTGCTGTCCGACATCGGAGGGATCCTGGGTCTGTGCCTGGGGGTTTCCATACTGAGCCTCTTCGACGGCTTCGAGTGGATGTTTCTAACTGTCTACAAACGCGTCATTCAGAAAGTTCAGTCTTGAGTCGAACCCGTTTTCCGCTTTCACAACGCATATATCTTGAGGGAATCCATGTACTTTCTTGATTTTTCTGCACCTTAAAATTCACGGCGAAATTAGAGTTATTCTCTCTATATACAGTATATACAGTATACATATATATACCTACCCACGAACAAGTTCATACTGCACACATGATTCAAATGTTGAAACATTTTTATAATAATAAGCTTGAAATGCCACTTTCGCACATTCTACCTGAAATCCTGAACTTTTTTTAGTGATTCACCTTTAGTGACTGTTCACGAGTTGGGTTCACGAGTTCGTTCTGGAGTGTGAAGTGAAATGCACCGTAGCTCGGAAAATTCCTGGCTTACTTGTGCCAGATCTAAATCCTAAGATCCATTCAAGGAGTTGAAGAACGGGTAACAATCACCGCCAAGAGTATGATTCCGCAAAAGCTGCGTTGAAATGCATGCTGAAAATGAGAAGCCACGTACTTCATTCAGCGCCTTCCCAACAGGGCCGACTTGCATTACGTACACCTCAGTCAGACATTTGTCTTTAGTAATTAGTATGTAATGATGGATCTCATTGCTTTGTATGGCCTATATGGATGATCTCATTCCTATGTATCACCTGGCAAAATGACTGAATAAATCCTATTCCAAAATTCCTGACCGACTTGTATCAATGCCAATCGAGAGCAACGAAACTCTGCCTACCAAATGAGCTAGCCGATATCCTTTATGGAGCACACAATGTTTAAATCAGGATTATCCAGCTTTAATCACTGGGTTTAAAGCCGGAGGAGTAAGTTCTTTGTCTCACACCTCGAGACGGGAAAGGGAAGTGCTCAGAAAGCTACCGAGTCACTGGCATACGACGTTTGCGCAGGAGGCTACAACAGGCTACAACAATCGGAATCACGAAGAGGTTGAAATCCAGGCATACATCCATTTCGTAGAGGGTTTCCTCATGAAGGTATTCGATAATTCCCTCAAGTGATCAATGTAGAGGATAGGTGTTAGGGAAAATGGTAGAGATTCCCTTGCGAGGGAAATACCCCCCGTCATTTTGGATTTAGGGGTCGTATTCACGTCCCTCCCTTCGTTAGGGGACCCCTAAGCTAAAGGTACCCTAAAAGATAACTGAAAAGGCTCGAAAATAAGGGTCCCCTAAACGCGCCCCTAAGAAGATATAGGATACTGTAAAGAAGTTAGGGGAACCTACAGCCGCTCTTAGTAGGTTCCTGCGAATTCGTTGCAGTCTTCCAGAGAGCAGCATTCCCTCGTTAGGTTCATGTCTTTGCCCTTGGATATTGATATTGGATTCAGCGAATTCTTTTACCAATTCATGTAGATCAGTGGTCCTCAAACATCTTTCTAGGCGAGGGCCTCATGGACACTTTACTCCACCTTGAGTGGGCCGCACTTATAACGTTAGTCAACCTGGAGTGAACCACATTTAAAAAGATCCACAATTTCTGCATGGGTAAACCTTCATCTGCCCATCGACATTTTGGTCAAGCTACTTAAAATGGGGAGAAAAAAAAACTGCCTATTCCTGTCGCATCCACTCACACTTTCAACTGTCAGTCACAAAAACTGCCTTGATGGCACTTTACTTTCTGATTTTTCTTCGCGAAAAAGTTATGAAGGAAAAAAAAAAAGATTTCTGCAGAAAAGATGGTACAGCAGCACCTTCGCAATCGACGTAGAAGCCCGACGACCGGGGAATAAGTCATCCGCGGCCCCCGGAATCCTCCGCCTCGAAATTTCTGTCGGAGGAATCATGACGACAGCTTCTCTTTCCGAACTGGAGCAAGTCTCCGATCTCTTCGCATGACGCTATATGAAGGGGAGAGGTGCACATGCGAGGGAAATGAGAACTAGATCAGTCATTTGCCTTTTTTTCCCTGAAATATTATGAACGAACCAAGGACATATTGTAAGCAAGTCGAATTGCTCATGATCCATGAGCATCGAGTGTATCATCCTGCAGACCTGCAGGCGATGAAAGAAAGTGTTGGAACGAAGTAAGTCATGCCACCTGCATGGAACCTTGTGACCTGACGCAAATCGGCTCAAACACCAGCAGATGAGGTAAAAACCAGGAGATCCTGCAAAGAGATGTCAAGTTCCTCCAGCGACTTCACTCGCCAACCGGAAATGACCTTGTGGCCTATTTCCCCTCTATAACGTGGACTTAGACTCACAAAAATCTTTACTGGGTGGCAGTGGAAGGCAACCGATTCGGCCTTCGCTATGACTCCATGACGAGTCAATTTTCTTTCGTTTCGTGCGAACGGGGACAAACTCCGAAATTAGCTGCGAGGGAAAACTAAATATCGAACAAAATATTAAATTTATATAATTTTTTCGGCCACCTTGTTTAGCATCAGCTACGAAACTCCACTTAGCATTGTGGGAAGCACGCTCCACAACGGACAAGATTACCTTTTAGGCAAATTCTATGAATAACCCTTTCGCATATCGATAACTGAGAAAATGCATGCAAAACAGGTGAATTTGAATTACATTAGTGGATTGAAAGCAGAACAAGTCTTCGTTGCACGCTTTAATCTGCTCATGGAATTAAAAAAGGTTTTGAAATGTTAAATTCATTACTAGCATTTTATGATTTTAGAGCGACTAATTGACCTGAGACGCGATTTGTCTCGCCCTACTACCCGAGTCAAGGGAGTTAAATGTCATGTAAACTAGATATCACGGAGTTATTTCACCCCTGTCTTCGATAAAGCACTATCTTATCAACGATGATTGAATTCCAAGTCAAACACTCCAAACAAAGATATCCTCTACTCCAGTGTGTATCTGTACAGTGTTGCTTCAGTGTTGCTAGTGTCTCAGAGAGACAAATTTTGCATTTTAACCTTTCTCGACTTGATAACAAGGCCAATTTCAGCTGCATGGACGTCTTCAATGGTTCCATGTTTTCCAATCCGTATCTCGTCCCTTCAGGCATTGATTTGTGAGGCACAATAAAACATTCCTTGCTTGGCTTCACTCAACGTGTGCGGTTGTTTCGCACGTCTTTTTCGAATTTGCAGAGGGAAACTGAAGGATGCGCGTCTGCTCCTGATGATTAGTGTCGAGCTTATCTTATCTGATATTTCCCTCTCCTCTTGAGCGTATCCGTTCCCATCCATAGATGCAAGGGAATTCTGAAATGTGCTGTTCTAGCTTGCCTATTCGCTTGCTGTGCACCTTTGTGTCCGATTCTGGAGCGCTTCATCAACTATAGTGTGTCGCTCGATGCAATCAGGAATCCTTAGCACAATAACAGCCGCATCGTCATCGGCCAGAGAGATCGATTTCGCCTGAAAGAATGGCAAGAGCGACCCAAAAGAAGAAAATGATTGCAATCTACAAGGACTTAGATGATCACAATGCGCTTGCGATGAGGATTTCGGAGTGTTTCAGGAGAGGAGCCAACTGGTGCGATGTCGTCATTCTCATCCAAGAAGAAAAATTCTATTCCTACAAGGGAATCCTCGCCTCCGTCTCCCCTTACTTCCAACAGATGTTCTCCACCGACTTCAAGGACGCTTCCCAGAGGGAAATCAGACTGGAGGGCTTCACCAAAATAGGATTCAAGCCGGTTTGGGATTACATACATGGAACGAGGGTGGAAGTGGAAGGGGAGGAAGGGGCATTGGCCACTCTTCAAGATGCCCATTTCCTTGGGCTACAACGCCTCTGCAACAAGATGAGCAAGATTATTCAGGGATTACTGAATGATGACAATGCCTTCCGTATCCTCACCCTTGCTGAACAATGCAGCTGCAAGGAATTAAAGGATGCTGCCATCGGCTACATTTCCGTTCGATTCAATGAAGCCATCTGCACGAGCGAATTCCTGAGCGTCTCATTCGAGACGTTGAAATCCTTCTTGGATCGAGATGAATTACGGCAAGCCTCCTCCGAGGCGGAGATCTTCGAAGCTGCGAGGAAATGGGTGGATCGCGATTCGAGCCGGAAACGACATTTCCCGGATCTTCTCGACAAGATCCGTCTCCCTCGCCTTCCTTACGAATACCTGAAGAATGTGGTTCTCAAGGACGCCCTAATTCGGGGGAATTCAAGATGTCTCACCGCCATCATGCATGCAATCGACAATTACATCACGGAACTGCGTTACTGCGTCGCTAAGAAGGAATCCGAATCCCTTGAACGTTTTTGGTGCCTCGGAATTAATGGCCGTAAGGAATGGAAGCTCTATGGAATCAACCCGAATAATTGGATCATGGATGAGGTCACTCACTATCCTGACAGAGAAGATCTGGAATTTTGCCGAGCCTTTGCAGGAATCAACAGGAAACTCTACTCGACCGGGAAGGGAGAGATGAGGATCTTCGACGTCGTCAAGGGGACATGGGATGACGGGCCGAAGCCACCCAACTTCGCTGAATATCAAGCGACTGCCGTCTCCCGCGGATCTCTGTACCTCTGCGGGGGTCGGGATCAAAATTCAACAAAGCAAAAGTACGTGCATCAATTCATCGCGCAGTCAGGCCGGTGGCTGCGATTGAGCGACATGCGATACGAACGGCATAGCGCAGGAGCCTGTCAGCACGGCCCTTGCCTGCACGTCGTCGGCGGATGGTGCAAAGGAGCCTTGAAGAAACACGAGCGTTTGGATCTCCGCACGTCCAGATGGGAAGAGCTGGCCGAGTTTCCATACGAAAGACAATTTCCCGCACTTGCACTTCACGAGGGTCGCCTCCACCTAGCCGGAGGATTCCAGGGCGAGGTGAAAAGAGAGGTGTACGCGTACGACGAAAGACTCGATGCGTGGTTGGAGCGGCCGAGCATGGAGCAAGGACGGCGGCTGCACGGCCTCGTCTCCTCTCAAGGAAAGCTGTACGCCGTTGGGGGATTTCAAAATTCCAGCGTGGAAGTCTTCCATGGATCGAGATGGAAAATCGTGAAGAGATACGATTTGAACCATTGCGAGAGAGCTTGCTGCATGAGCGTTTGAGTCACGGTCTCTTTCCGATGGACTAAGGCCCGAATCCCATGTA